ATGATCACGTGATTACCAGGGATGCGTCTCTCGGTTAAAGCATTGCAAAGCGGTAACTAATAAACAATGAATAAAGAGCTATTAATCAAACTCCTGTCATATACGCTTATAAACTTCAACTGAACTCACAAGTCGTTAATCTAAACAAAAGTCATACGGCGGCGTGGAAACAGAATGCAAAGACAAAGCTATCATAACACATTACTCCTCTGGCAAAAAGACGGGGAAAAGACTAAAACGATAGAAACTACTGAGTTACATAAACCTGTCAATCATGAACAAAAGCTTGCGTTATCAAACAATACGTATTTAAGCGCACCACCTCTCATTCCAAAAAGACATTAAAAAACGTTACAAAGGTGCTATCAACTCAAAAAGCGTCAGAAGTATTCCGGAAACAACACATAAACAAAAACAACTCTTAAAACGTTGATATCTCTGCACATCGACAAACCCCAAAACTCTTAAAAAACACGTGGGGGCATCATTCCTCCCATCATAATCCGTACTCATAAACTCATAAAAACTCCATAAAACTTCACAAAACTCAAAACACTGTTTTGCAAATACTTGTCCACTGAGGCGTGCTTAAATCGTTATAAAGGACCTCGCACGTCACTAAATATCAGTTCAAAAAAAAGATCTGGGTGCTTACATACATACAATTCAACATCACAAAAAAACGGTAAGAAAAACGATAGGAAAAGCAGCAATACATTACATTACTGAGCAATAGGGTTAGGGTTCTGGAAAAGAGTTCAACGTCCTTGAGTTACACAGTGTCAGTTACAGTGTCCAACGAGCGGTTCTCTAAGCAAATAGCTAAAGTTCTAATCAAAGTCTATAAGCGTCATCTCTCTTGTCGTCGCGTTAGTCCGGGTCGTTCTTTTTCTTCATCTTCTTGTCTTTAATGTCGCTCAATTCATAATTATACTGTCCTATACGATACTCGTCCTTCCGAAGGGGCTCTGAAATCTTCATCTCTTCAGCGTTGTACATCGGTGCCATACTGTTAACGGTGTTAGTCGTCAAGCGCCGTTTCGTCTCTGCCATCGAGCCAGTTAGTTCGGTTTGCAAGAAAGACACCTCTTCGCCATTTCACTTTTCTTCACAGGATGTCAATGTGCGTAAGACGCAATGCCCAGGGTTCTCACACCACGTATCAGGGGGAAATTCTTTTCCTCGGGGTCTCCACACTTGCCAGGGGGGAATCTCGTCTCGTCTCTCTATCTCGTCCCCTTGAGGTACGGGATCGGGAAAGTCACTTATACTTTACAGTCAAATAAGACACACACAACGAAATACGGTTCAACTCTCGTCTTAGTCGGTCAATCGAGCACTCTATAAGACA